ATACTAAATAGAAGTGGCGGCGGCGGCAGAACATTCAGATTCTATCCCTCCTTTCAACCCTTTGTGTTCTACAGTTCTCTCTTCTCTTTCTCTTCTCTTCTCTTCTCTACATTTTCCTTCTATTTTCGAACCTGAAATCTATTAGGGTTCAAGGCTGATAGCAGTCTTGAACTTCTACTGTAATAGATCAAGAACTATTAAAAATAATGAACTATTTTTTTATAATTAAAATAATGATGAACTAATTATAGGAAGAGAAAGGTACAAATTGTTAAAAACCTCTTACAACAAAGAGAGAAATGACCAAGAGAAACCTGTTTGTGTTGCCAATAGTGATAAAAGAAAAAAAAACTACTCTCGAAGGGAAAATCTTTCTTGTAGGAACAATAAAGATTGGCAACACAAATCATAATAAACAACAAACTATCCAAATATTTTTCCCCACTAGTTTGATAAAGCAGCAAATGTAACATTAAAGCATATCCTCACCTTTATCCACTGATAGTCAAAAATTGTCTCAATTCTCCTTTCAATAACACCACATACCCGACAAACATATCCAATATCATCCTTGAGAACAAAAGAGTGGTTGCATTCTTCACCTTCCTCTTCTCCACCACTTTGTTCAAAAGCTGACATCTCTGCAGCAGCCTCCTGAGGTAAAGACAAAAATTGGATTTAAAATGGGTTAACTCATAGGAGGTGCAACAAGATAAAGATTCTTTAGTATATTTAAATGAAGGAACAAGTCACTTACAAGTATAGTGAATCACTAAAATGCCAAGGGTATTAAACACAAAAAATATTACTTAAATTTGTTTCAAAAGGAGGTAAATTATTCCTCATCATGAGTGTCCTATCAAATGATTCAAATCTACCAGTCTATTTCATATCCCTCATCTCTATTCCTGCATTGTTGGCAGTCATCCTGGAAAAATGGAGAAGAAATATCATCTAGTTGCATGGCCCCCTTTTTTTATCAATAAAAGGAGATTTTAATAAAATCAATTTGAAGTATTACAGTAATGGGGGAGTTTTCCCCATCCCACAGACTGATATATAATTTATAATGTTGCCCAAAACATTTGGTGCCTAGCTGTCCCTTGCTTAGCCAGACCATCCGCCATCCCATTTTCTGTTCTTCTTACCCATTTAAAGACAACATTCAGCTCCCTTGTTATGCTTTCTATTTCCTGAAAAGTATGTGTATAGATCCACAGGATGTGAGAGTTGCATTTTGTCCAAGAAATAACCACGTGAGAATCCTATTCTACCTCCAAGTTGAGGAAACAAAATGTTGGACAGTTTTGTATGCCCTTAGCTTCAATCATTTTGATGTACTTTTGTTATTTAGTGGAAATAACTAAAGTGCATGTTTGATTCATGTTGTTTGGTTTAATTCTGTGTAAAACCCTAAAACTGGACATTTGTAGAGACTCATGTTAGTTTTAAATGTTCACAGC